ATGAGTGGCCTTTAGTATTTGATTGAAAACAATTTTCACTTATCTTTCAAAATTCACAAAGAAGCATTTACACAGGAGTTCTGAGTAAGCTATGAGCATGGAGTGAATTCTACCTGATCAATTTGATGTAAAATAAAATTTCCCATATGTTAAAGAGATCCTTCGTTTTCCTACACTTGAAATTATTTAAGCAAATCCCTACTTAACAAACAGTAGTGAACTAAGGAAAAGAACTTAGATAATTTTGATTTTCTCTACTTTAAGAGGCTTCACAAAATTTACTTGGGTTCTAAGTTGATGGTAGTAAGGATTTTATGTTTCAGTAGAGGAAAAAGTGAAGTTTTAAATAGAAGGTTTTTCAGCCTAATAATTAAAATAACAATACTTAGCAGACTTCTACAGTACTGCGAACAAACCGAAATTGCATGGGCTGTTTTTGGTTTAAATTACATGGAACCCTTTCCAGAAATACTTGTAGGTATAGAAGCTTGATTGAAATATTTGCATAATTTCTGAGCAGAGAGTTTTCTTTGCTGTAATTACATCCATGTGGTGACTCATATTCTCTTAATTTGTAGGTTTTATAATTCAAAGGAAAATATTCCCTTGAAATTTGAAAACCTGGAAGACTCAAAATTGTTTCAAAAATTATTATTATTATTATTATTATTATTATTATTATTATTAATGCCGCTACTACAGCTACACTTTCTTTAAGGAATATTTTATGTAGATGCTTTTGATTTCACTCATGCTAGATCTGATAAGGGTGATTTACTCATGTAGCAGTGATGGAGAAAGAATCCCACAGTTATCCAACATCAGGGATGGGCTGTTCTGGATCCAGGGACTTAAGCAGTAGAGATATGGGACTTTCACTTTGGTATTCACCACTGGTGCAACTCTGTTGTGTTCAAGAGTCTGCTTATTTTTTATTTATCTCTTTCCTTCATCAGCTGAATGATTTTATTCTGAATTTACTAGTTCAGATTCCCAAGAGAAGAAACCTGGCTGGCTCTGCTAATAAACAATGCCTCTATATAGTAATTTTTCTCTCCCAATTCTGGTGAAGTTGTTTGAGACTGAAAGGAAGGTTGATAATCTTTTGCAAACATCTGGCTGGCACCTCTCCTGTTTAGGGTATGGCCTTGGATAACAGGGTGAGATGTGGATGGTGGAGCCACAAGTTTTGCTGGAGGCAGAGCTTTACAATGCAGCTTCATTATTCTGTGAGAAGCCTTTAGAAATTTGTGAAATATCTGACATGCCCATGATTAAAATATAGGACAACTGTCGATTAGCTATACAATAGCTATTCTCTCTACCACTCTTCTTCCCCCTAATATTGTTGAACTCTGAGTGATTATGATGTTCATGGGAGGCCCTGCAGGAGGAGACTGTTATTGTTTAAAGATAGATGTCCTTGTCAAAGGAATGGTTTTGATGTAGCCAAGTAATGTAGTTCTTACAAAACATACTTGAGAAGATGAATGTAAGGGTTTTTTTTGTGTGTGTGTGTGAAGAGTTTGCTGACTCTTTTAAAGAAATACAAGGTTTTCTCCTTCCCTTCCCTTCCCTTCCCTTCCCTTCCCCCTCCCTCTCTTTCTCTCTCTGTCTCTCACCCTCTCTCTCTTTCTTTCTTTCTTTTACCTTGGTATACTTTTATCTGCATGAGATGCTTAGACTTGCAGCAGTCAGGTTAGGGTCATGACAGGAACTAGATAAGAGGACAGGTCCCCCACCACATTGATGGCAGAGCAGAAAAATGAACATACTCCTGGACTTATTAATAGCACTGAGCAAACACATGAATTAATCTAGGAACCTCCCTAATGTCGGGTGGAAAATTAATTTGATGCAATGGCAGTATACTGTTAGGCAAGCTATCCCAGAAGTAAGGGGACCAAAAGCCCCCATAGACCAAATTAAAATTCTCAAATCACATGATCTGCTAAGTCAATTTAAAGCACATGGCGAGAAGCAAGAGGAAAGAAATGGGTAGATTAGTACACTTAAGATAGGGTGCAAGTTGGGTGGGGTACACAGTGTTCATATGTCCTGCTTTTGTCTCTGTTGCATCTAACTTCCCTGATGATAATGTAGTTTTGGTTTTAAGGACCAGAGCTGAAGTTTGGGCAAGCTTCCTAGATGGAAGGTAGCCAAGCTAATGACACCCCCTTGCTGTATCTGAGATACACTGGACATATATGCCTTGTCAAGAGCTGTAGCTTGCCAATTCACTTGATGAACAGTCTTGAATTCTATTTGTGTTTTTGGGCAGAGGAAATATGGAGCAGAAATGAGTGTCAGTAGCAGTTCTTAACCAGTGCGATTTTGTCCCCCATTGTACATTTAACAATGTCTGGAAATATTTAATTTCATGACATGCACAAGCGCACGTGTGTGTGTGTGTGCGTGCGTGTGCACACGTGTGTTGTACTGGCATCTAGAGGGTAGAGGCCAGGGATGCTGCTAAACATACTACAATGCACAAGATGCTCCTGTGACAAAGAATTATCTGGCCCAAAATGTCAATAGTATGGAAGTTTAGGAACACTGGATATCACAAATAGGTGATTGAATTAGACCTCATAAATATTAAGTGCTTATGTTGAGTGTATCCTGGATATTTAGTGTCTCTTGAATATTTATAATATCATGAACATTTATTACCCAGGAATTTCATGAATATTAAGTATCTTTTGGTCATCTACTTCTTTCTATTCATGTGTAAACATATATACCATTTTCTTACTTACACATTGCACATCCTAAACATTCTGCCCGTGTATTACAAAATTTGCTTACTAGCGACTTATTTATACTTAAAACATCTTTAAGAGTATTAACCTATATTTTTATAAACTTCAAATTATTCATCTAACAGAATTGAATATTTGCAAAAGCAAATCCACATTACACTTGCTTTGGAATTTCTAATGAGAAATAAGATATAAATGTTCTGATTGTTTAAACCACTTTGAGTTGTTTTCTGCAACTTGCAGCTTAGAGTGTCCTAGCTAGTTCTCCCACATAAAGTTAATAGTAAAATGTATTCCAAAAACAAATGAAACAAGCACTTAGACCAGGGGCCCCCAATCCCCAGGCTGTGGACCAGTACCTGTCAGTGGCCTGTTAGGAATTGGGCTTCACAGTAGGAGGTGAATGATGGGTGAGCGAATGAAACTTCATCTGTATTTGCAGCCACTCCCCAGCACAAGTATCACTGCCTCAGCTCCACCTCAGATCATCAGGCATTAGATTCTCATTGGAGTATCTGTCCCTGGTGCCAAAAAGATTGGGGACTGGTGATTTAAAATATAATTATAGGGTTTCAAAATGGTGATGTAAGCATCAGATACTATAGGAAACTGCTTATGGTGCCTGAATTAATGTAACTTTTGTTTGATCATTCTGTTTACATTTCAAGCAACTGTAGGTATGGTGCTTGTCATTGTTGGCCTATGCGTTCATAAATTCACGTTCTTTTTAATAGTTAGGATAGTTTTGGCATGGTGACCTTTAGATAACTGTAAGAAAGATTTTTTAGTTGGCTGAATGTCTATTAATAGAGTAGTAGGTTTAGAAATGTCAACTGATGGTATTGGCAACAATTCTATGCCAACAGGAATCCCTAGTTTGGGATATGGTGAAGAAGGAAACTTTATTCAGTGTAAACAGCTCAATTAGAAACATCACAGCTGTGGAACTTCAGGGCTGTGAGGAGGGCCTGGAGCGAGGCAGCAGCTCTCCACTAGACAGCTCTGCTCTGTTCTGTCTGCTCTGCTCTTGTGAAACGTCTTCAGTGTTTGTCTTTGGTGTTTCAACTCCAACCAGAGGAACATAGTTTCCTATCTTTGATGGAAAGGGAAAGTGCACCCCCCAAGCCAGAGAGGAAGCTGGCTTATATAGAGTGAGGAAGTCCCCATTCCTGATGAGTCTGTACTCATGCAAATGAGACTCTAAATCCTTGCAGTTTGATTGGCCTAAAAGGCACTGTCCTGATTGGTCAGAATGACCAATCTTCTCTGATTGGTCAGAGAAGATGCTGATGGGATTATAACTGTGCAGCTTTGATTGTATGGAGAAAGCCTCGGTCCTGTAGGTTGAAATACAATTCCAGGAACTCTTTTATAAGGGCTGTCCCAGATGGCAGGCGGTTTAGTGCAGGCCTCTTTCTGAAGTGTGGTTTGGATAAAAGGCCCCAGTTTAGAAATGGCTGCTAGGCTCTGCTTTAAGATTTGAGCCCAGTTAGCCACCAGGAGCCCTTCTCAGTAAGTATCTTCTTTTTCAGGATCCACATAAAATTTATAGCTTCATATATAATTTTTATTTATTAATGTTAATTTTATTTATATTTTAGTGCTTTAAAAATGTAGAGACTTTAATACTTTTTATAGAAGTTGTGTCTTGAGGCACCTCCATTAAAGGGGAAATTCTTCACATATATAGAATTAAAGAGAAGTATATTTAAGATGATGTAAACATTTAAAAATTTTAAGACAGTTGTTGTTTAGTAGAGTTTTCAAAAGAGAATTATTTGAAACTGCTGATGGTATATAACTTCATTTCTTTTAGCTTTCTTTGCCTCCTTTTTATTTTTGTGATGGAAACTTTTCTTATATGAAATAGCACATGTAACACATCGAAAAATGGTAAGGTATGGTAGCAAATTAAAACTATTTGATAAAAAGCTAAAGTAAAAAAAGAGAAGAATAAGATGTCTTTAAAATAATGGTGTGCTTAGAGTAGTTTCCTAGAACTCCTGTACTAGATCAATGGAATCAGCTCTGTTGAGCAACGGGGTGACAGGTGGTTTAGTCAGTCAACCTCATAACCTGTGTGTGGGGGGCCGGGGGGAGAGAGACAGAGACCTATAAAGTTTTATTTTTGTATTAAAATTTGGGTTAAAGAATCGTTAAAGCTAGGATGTGTAAACTTGATTTTCGACTACTTTACATTTTCAGGGTCTTCTTTAATCATTTCTTTTGTTGTTGCAGTGATTTACTGTCCTCTGAATACATAGAGAGACACATTGAACATGGAGGGAAGACTGTGGAAGTGAAAGTGAGTAAAGCTTTCCTCTCTCCAGGGGAAATATTTTCAGAATATTTTAAATACTGATTTTGATTTTAATTTTCAGTGATACTTCTAATCTATAGTTTGGGGGATTTTTAGGAGCTCTAGTAGCGCAATTGGTTAGTGGTACGTATACAGTTTTGGGATTTTTATATTTCAGAATTTATCAAGGAAATGTATTACTCATATGGGAAAAAAATAAAACCTTTAGTTATCAGGAAACGAATTCTTATACTGTAGGAATTGTTGGAGTTATGTTTTGTGGAATTAGTATAACTGTAATCGGTTCTTTTTTTTATTATATCACAGAAAATAATTTCTGAAATTTGCCTTTAAAATTATCACTGGGAGGCAAGAGGTGAAATCTTGGGTCCAGGATTCATGGCTTTGCATTCAGTTGGAGATGACTGAATTATAAACTTATTAGGTCTTCTGAGAAGTCCCAGGGAGTTTAAAATCCCTGGACACAGAAATCTCAGGATACTGGTTTTTGTCAGGGAAGTTCTGAAAAGATTACACACAAATAAAAGCCTCTTCCAATTATAGGCATAAGAATGTGGTTTTTTTTTCCAGTCTGCTGCTGATGTAATGTGAGGGCATATGAGACCAAACTCCACCAAAGGGTTTCTTTAGGTCCAATGTTTAGTTTGGTGAGTTTAGCTAATTGTAACAGTGTTCAGACTGTCAGAATTATAAATGCCATTTATATATTTTTGCTTTCTTTTTCTGATTATAAATTTGATAGATATTCATTTTAGAAAAGTTCTAAGTAGAGAAAAAGGAAAAATTACCCTTAAACTCATCACTGAGAGGTAAACTTCATTTTCATTTTGATATATTTCCTTTCAGTGTTTTTTTGTTCTATGCCATATTTATATTTTTCATGTAGCTGCTATGATGCATATCTACAACATTGTATCTTGCTTAAAAAATAAACATTGTATCATGTTGTAAACATTTTCCCATTATTTTCTCTTAAAGCTATTGTTCACTGCTTTTCAGTTTAAATATATTACCATCATAAAGCTTTTTATTCAAATTAAACTCTATATCACTAAATAACTAAAATAAATTACATTGTCCTATTTAAGCGACAACATGAAGAGAACTAGATTTTTCAATAATATGTTAACAAAAAAATTATTATGGAAAGTTTCAAACATATACAGAAATGAAAAGAATACTGTAATGAACTCCTACATGTCCATTTTCCAGAGTCAACAGTTATAAATATTTTGATGATCTCTCTCTCTCTCTCTCTCTCTCTCTCTCTGTGTGTGTGTGTTTAGTATTTAAAAGCAAATTCCAGGCATTGGGACATTTTCTCTGTAAATACATCTTTATATATCTACATATATAAGACAAAACAAAATCTGTTAATTTTTACAAGTGATGTAGATAGATATAGTTATGTTAGTCCTCCTAGAAAGTTATTTTAAACTTAAGGTTGGGTAATTGGATGGTTGACTAATTTTTATCACTGTATCACTGGCTTAACTGCAGAAAGGATATCAGGATTCTTCTAGGTATGACATAGGAGAATGGAGCCATTTTGCTTATAGTTGGAAAAAAAATTACCTAGATTTATAATCTCCAGGTTCCTTTTATTATCATCCCTGTTTATTTAGCTTTACTTCTCTATTTTATGTAATGCTTTTCTGAATGCATTAAATTAAAGATGAAAGGAAATAGGCAGTTGACTATTTCTATTTATGTCTGTCACTAAAATGACAAAATGCAAATATCAGCATGGAAGGAGAATCCAGCAAACAGCTGTCTGTTGTCTCTACGGTAATATCCCTTTTCAGGAAACTTGTACTTAATCCATAAAGTGTATTCCACTCTGAGGTCATTGGGCTCCATGGGTATGTGTAACACCCAAAGCACTGACTTGCTGATTTTCTAGCCAGAAAATTGCATTTTCTTCATTGATGGTTTACCTAACCCCAAGCCTGTCAGACTAGGGACATGATAAATCCAAAGTTCTTTCAAACCCTCGGGCCAGAGGATGTTTCTCTCTTTAAGAAAACCACTTTGATTTCACTCATCACCCCATTTGTTTCTAGTCCATTAAAAAAAATGGAATAGAGAATCTAACTCAAAATTCTCCTCTCTTTTTTTTTCCAGGAACCACACTGAAAGCGATTCCTGCCCACTAATTCAGTCCGTAGCCCCAGTTATTTTCCTGCTGGTTCCCTCTTTTTTTGCCCTCTGTGCTTAGCTCATTAGGGTGTTTCTTTTCATATGGACTCTGTTAGTTGTCCTTTCTTTATTAATGATTTGTAATTGTCTTAAGCTTTTCTTTTCATTATATGAGTCAAAAAATTATAAAATCATAGGTGTTTTTTTTGTTTGTTTGTTTGTTTGTTTTTTTAGTTTTAATTTCTCTCTTACTTTTTGTAGTTGCTAGGTCTGCCATAATAAAGTACCAGAGTCAGAATGGCTTAAACAGCAGAAATTTATTTTTTCACAATTCCAAAGGCTAGAAGTCCAAGATCAAAGTGTCAACATGGTTGGATTCTTCTGAGGCCTCTCTCTTTGGCTTGTAGATAGCTGTCTTCTCCCTGTGTTTTCACATGGTCTTAAATCTATGTCTACCTGTGCCCAATTTCTTCGTAGAAAAACATAAGTCATATTGGATTAGAGCTCACCTTAATGACCTTATTTAACTTAATTCTTTAAAAACTATCTCCAAGTATAGTTACAATCTGATGTACTGGGGCTTAGGCCATCAACATATGAATTTTAGGGGATTACAAATCAGCCCATAACACCTTCCCTAAGAGCCCTATGAATTTTTTTAAATTGGCTTTTCTCCTGGGACTGAAGTAAATGAAAGGTATAAGGAGATAAAAACAAAACTCTGTAAGAACTTTTTTGTCTATTGGCACAAACACGGTCATATTTATCTTGAGGATGCAAAATTAAAATCAACTTTATTATGAAACCAGATTTAAACAATGGGTAAAAACCAGTCTAGTAAATGTCTCTGCTCAGGTATCATAGAACATTTACTTGTGAAAATTAATGTATAATATGTTTGATTTAAGGGTGTGAATATGAACATGGGAAAATGAATAAATTGCATGAAAAAATACATAATAGCTGTATTGTTGTATCTCTCTCTCTCTCTCTCTGACATGGACCACCAGAAATCAGTGAGTTATATAGGAAACACACTCTTTATTCAGCCAGCTGGGTCTGCAAGGGGCACGCAGACCCTGAATTAAGCAGCCCCGAAATGTAGAGGTACAGGGTTTTTAAGCCCTAAATCCCGTTCCTCATTCTGTCTTAAACACAAAGGTCTATTTTTCTCCTATTCACTACCTGTCAACCCACAGGTCGGTTGTGCAAGCGGGGGTACAGAAGCAGAAAGCTTACTGTTAGAATGTTATGTTCCCATGGGCAATAGCCTATGTTCCCATGGGCGATAGCCTATGTTTCCATGGGCGATAGCCAAGCAGTAATTTTCCAGCCAGCACAGTATTAGTGAATCTTTTAGATTGCAATTTTATTTTTGAAATGTTTTTAATTGTAAAATACAGCACTGACACAGAAATTACTATCAATGAACCACTATACCGTTAAAGAAATAGGGTTTTGCCAGAAATTACTTATGCTGTTTCCCAAACCCAAGCCCGTCCCTCCTCCTCTTGTAAGACTTGCAAACAATGTCCTGACTTTTATGGTTATAATTTTCTTACTTTTTGTTTATAGTTCTATCACCAAAGCATGTATCCCTGTAGTTTAGTTTTGCCTATTTAAGTTTTTTAACAAAATACATTAAAAAAAAAAAACCTCTTTGAATCCTTTGGTTTTCCCTTATCTTTTTTTATTCTCTTTTGCAATTTATTTGTTGAAGAAACCAGATTGTTTATGCTATGCAGTTCTTGCAATCTGGACTTTGCTGTTGGTTGCAGTTTTATATTTAGAGGAAAATGAAATACATTTTAATGCTCTTTTTTAAGATAACGAGTTGTATTATCTGCAAGACATTTTATACCTCTTTGAAGGCAGTTTTTTCCTGATCAGATATGTGCTTAATCCTGATTTCAAAGTTCTATTAAAACCTTTTTTTAAAGGTTGCAAAGATAAAGGCTTTAAGCAGGAAAAAAAATGATACTTTTTTATTCTTTTAATGACTCATACTAATTTCATCTTTTACTTACATTTATTTCCAATTCATTTAAAAATTAAATTTTAAATTTGAGCCTTAGTTTAGGGAGAACATTTGTGTGTTTAACATGAACTTCCAAAAGAATGTAAACATAAAAGCCTCAACTGGAAACAGTATATCAAGGAAATAATAAGAATATCTTGGGGACAAAATTTTTTTATTTTGATTGTGCAGAATTATGGCTCTGGATTCTTAAGATAAAGGAAACTGAAATTGATAAGTAGCAGCAAATGAGTGTAAACCATGCCATTTACTGTTTGTTAGCTAGCTTTTTTGTGTGTTGAAGCTGAAAGCTGCCAATATTCTTGTTAATTGAAGTTTCTGGTTATATAGCTCTAGTTAATTAGTATTATACTACTAATAATAGCAATTGTTTACATTTATTGTTCATGATGTGTCAGACACACACATTTATATTTATTCAATACTGAAAACAACCTGTGATTATAAATATAGCTATGTAGTCTCCCACTTTACAGGAACTGAGGCATAGAGAGGCTATATAACTCGCTGAAAATAACCATAATGAGTCCAGCTGAAATTTGAATCTAGGTTATATAACTCCAGAGCTGATTCTTATACCATATTATGTACCATATATTTTATATTATATAGAGTAGGATAATCCTAAAAATTAAAATGTATTTTATTTAGACCTATTATGTACACATCTCATTCATTCTGGAGGTATCTAAAAATTACCCCTTTATGGCCTAATCTTTAAATTGAAATGGTGGTCTACTTAAAGACTTTTTAGCTATTTCTTTCAATTTGGTTGTGCATTCGAGTAGTTTTTCTGTAACATTGGTTA